TCTTTTTTGGGCATTCGTAAGATTTGTGTCCGTCTTCTTGACATATCCAACATTTACAATCTTTTTTATTTGATGGACAATAATTTGTTTTAGGTTGATATTTTTGTCTATATTGTTTTCTATTTCGAATATATTTTCTTTCACCTTGTTTATAATATTATTTATATTTAGGTTTATAAGTTTGTTTTTTCCAAATTTTCTTTTTATATCGTTGTCTTTTATTATCTTTACATCCATATTGATTAACTTTTATTATCTTTACATCCAACATTTACAATCTTTTTTATTTGATGGACAATAATTTGTTTTAGGTTGATATTTTTGTCTATATTGTTTTCTATTTCGAAAATATTTTCTTTCACCTTGTTTATAATATTGTTTATATTTAGGTTTATAAGTTTGTTTTTTCCAAATTTTCTTTTTATATCGTTGTCTTTTATTATCTTTACATCCATGTCGAATGTGACATAAAGTAGGTAAGATGTAACATAAAGTGTAAGACCCTTGATAGTAGAGGGGTGTAAATAGTAAAATAGGGTTGTCGTGTTGCAATCATACGATTGCTCTCAATTATGTAACCGGCTCTTTAGAGCCTATAGATAGGGCAGTTGCCCGTATGAAATAAACAAGGTGTTTTGAGTGTTTAAGACTTGAGTTGAATCTCAATGTCTTCCTCTGTTGAAATAATTTATCTATTTCTAAATAGCAGAGTCCTCTGTTGAAATAGTTTATCTATTTCTGAATAGCAGAGCCTTCTATCCATACTATCCAGAACCATTCATATAATTTGACCAATCCATCATCAATTAAGAACATCATCATCAAGATCATCCCAACGCACATTCGTATCGATTTGAATAGCAGAGCCCTCTGTTGAAATAGTTTATCTATTTCTGAATAGTAGAGCCCGGGGTTTGTATTTGTTGTATTCTAAGGATGTAGTTTTAGAAAAGTTCAAAGTAGGGGGGGGTTGAATATATAGTTTTCTTTATGAAATAAACTCAATTTATTTTATGGCACCCGATTTCATTAATAAAATAGCAATAAATAAGTAAAAATTGAGGTCTTTTGAGGGAAAAAAAATTAGGTGTAAAATATATTTAAAAAAAAGTTAGACTATAGTGTACTTTATGGAATAATTTTATAATCATATTACATTATAAAGTGGTGTAAATTTAACTTGTTTGCTATAGTCATACTTGAACAGTTGAACGACTTCTTAACCTCTCATAATAACCTTCTCATATATTTTACACTAGGTGTGAGACCCGTGTAATACACGAGTTTTTTTTTAAAAAAAAATTAATATATTTTGTTAAGCATTACATGTTTAATAATTTACAAAACTGAATTTGGAAATAATATCAATATTAGCTGTGAATAAACCAATTTTTGCAAGGTTTCTGCAAATTATCGTGAATTCAAAATGGATTGCCCGAAAATTATGTTTTTCAATTAAGAAAGTTGATTTGAATTTAAGTTTCCTTATTATGTGAGAATTTATGGATTGCCCGAAAATATCCTATTACTGATATTTTTACATCCATTTTATATCTGTAACACACTTTTACTTTCATTTTGAATCTGTAACTCAACCTTACCTCTTGAACTGGCTTAAATTAGGCTGGTAGGTTTTTCTAATAAACCAGTATGTACACCAGAATGTCACAAACCCAGGCCCCACCTATATATTCAATGATAGTGGAATCAAGAAGAGAAAAGAAAACAAAAAGATACGAAAAGAATAGTACCTGTAGCTTTTTCTCTACACTTCCTGCTTTGAAACACTTTTCACAATCACAGAAACCCATAATGGGTTTTAGTTTCTTTTCAAGCTTTAAGAATAAATAGGAAGAACATAACCAACATATTGGTAATATGAATATTGGAATACACAAAATCAATAATAATAATGTGTAAAATGAGAGAAACAAAAAAATGTATGCATACATGTTAGAGCTTTCTAACAGGGGAAGGGATACCAGAAAAATGTATATCGCCATTCATTACCAAAAATGGCCAACATAGAAACAGTGGTATGTGAACTCCATACAGGAAATAAATTATGGGAGATAAAAGCAGGTATCAAGATAAGAATATAATTTGTAAACTCAATTAAACATAAAAAAGAACAATCATACCTGAAGAATGACATTCTCTTGCAATATGCAACCGAAATCTTGAATAAGGACCTAATATAAAGAACAAATAAGTAAAACAAAGATAGGGGAAAGAATATAAATTCTAAAGTTGAGAGACATATAACACTCCAAATATTCTACTTCACAAATATTGACATCCCATGTTGACAAAAATATGTCAATCCCATAATGACGTAACTAAAAAAAAAATGCGATGTTAATATGAGGTCATAGAACTTTTCAATGAAATGATGCTATATTTGTCTAAATATTTAGACTTGAAAAAAAAGTAGTATGCTAACTTTTCCAACAAAATTGTTTCCTTGGTCAGAGGTCTATCAAATTTCCTTGGTGAGAGGTCTATCAAAACAGACAATAATGCTCCATCTTCATCACCTGGAAAATTTGTTTTGTTCAAAAAATCAAAATGTAAGATAATTTGATCTACCATTTTAACTATTTTCCCATTTTTAACATTTTTACTACTGTGATTAACTCTTTCACAGTTAAGAAACCTGGAACTCCTTTTGGAGTTATGTTATTAATCATTCTTTCCCCTAAGGACATGTAAGTAATTTAACAGATGACAAATTAATTCCAAGATATAGAAAGAACTCCCCATTTTGCTTATGTCCTTTTTGGTCAAGTGCTAATCAGTTCAAACAGCAAAAATATCCAATCAGATATAGCAATGTTCATTTTACTCAAATCACTAAAAAACTAAAAAGAAAAGACTCATGTTTAGTACAGTGATGTAACAGAAAATGATGAAAGTATGATGCTTCACCTTGTTTGCTACCATATTATTGATGTAGTCTTGCATTTTGTTGTCGTGTTCCTTGCATTTAGTTCTCCTTTTCATAACGATTACAAAGACGCCATAATTCATCAATATTAAGGACACAGTAAACATGTTTAACTCCAATAAAAACACTACCATAACCAAAATGTGCATAAATTTGAAACAAAAAAGAACTTACTGATGTGGGCAGAACTTCTATTAGAACCATCTCAGATTGATCAACCTTTCATCCTCCTGGGAAAAATATATTAAATATTTCAAGCACAATTACATATATCAAAGACAAATTCAAAAATGAATCTAATTATAAATTTCAAGCATGTACCTTTGAAAAAATATGATTATCTCTAGGAAACTTATAGAAACAATGTGGAGCAAACCCAAAGTAAAACTGCACTCTAAGTTCATGTAGGCATTTTATCGAACGGTTGTCATGCACATTCAAATCTATTACCAACTAAATCGATTCCATGAAGACATATTTTTTGGTTAAAACTGAAGCTTTAAAAAAGATAAGTACAAACAGAGAATAGTCTTACCAATTGGCAAATGATGAAGAACATGGTGAGCGGTAGTGGCTGTAGATAGTCGTGGAGTTGATGAAAGATACAAATTGAAGCTTTAATTCTAGAAAGTCTTACCGATTGGTCATCATATATTGTCATCGTAGTTATCAAATTACCAAACAAAAAAACAACGATGCATTGGTTCCTGATTTTTAGTGTATTCAAATAAAAAGGTAGAATTCAAAATTCAAATCTCCCTAATATCACTAATTAAGTGGTCGATTTATAGGATTGAACATGGAAAGTCTTGCAATTTGAACGTAAATTGCTATTATTTCCAAAAAAAACATGGAATTTGAATGTTATATGAAATCGAAAATTGCAGCAAGTTGAAAAAAAATCGGGGTTACATTAATATTTATGAAATTATGATTTAGTTAGTACAAAAATATAGAAATTATTTAGAAAAAGACACGTGAAAGGTTTAGCATAGTAGAAAATATAGAAATTATTTAGAAAATGACACGTGAAAGGTTTAGCATAGTAGAAAAGGACATGTGGCACATTAAAAGTTTTGTTTATTAGAGGAGGTAGACTAGATGTGAGACCCGTATGTTATACGAGTTTGATAAAACAAAAATTAAATATAAAAGTTTAAATAAAAATATATTTAAATTTGAAATTTTAGATTTGAAATTTAAAATTTAAAATTTGAATTTAAAAAAAAACATATTAAATACTATATGAATACTAATATTGTAATTTATTGGTTATTTTCAATTAAGACAATTATTAATTGAGGGATAAATATGATGTGTTAATTAAGAAAAGACAAAAAAAATAAGTGGAAAAAACATTTAATCAAAAATACCAAAAAAACGACATGTGTCCAAGTTAATGAAAGAGTGACATGTGGTAAAAAAAATTTATTTATTAGAAACTAGATGTGAGACCCGTGTAATACACGAGTTTTTTTTTTAAAAAAATTAATATATTTTGTTAAGCATTACATGTTTAATAATTTACAAAACTGAATTTGGAAAGAATATCAATATTAGCTGTGAATAAACCAATTTTTGCAAGGTTTTTGCAAATTATCGTGAATTCAAAATGGATTGCCCGAAAATTATGTTTTTCAATTAAGAAAGTTGATTTGAATTTAAATTGAATTTAATACATTAAGTGACAAATTATGTGAGAATTTATGGAGACATTTAAGTTTCCTTATTTTCTTTATTATACTTTTAGATTAGATTTTTTTATAATCCTACTTAATAAATGAAAGTTTTTTTTGCCACATATAGGATTTGACAAAAAAAACCTTCATTTATTAAGTAAGTAGGATTACATTTGATAAAAAAAACCTTCATTTACTAAGTAAGTAGGATTTACATCTTTTATTTGTATTTGAATTAAAAACTTTTAGCGGGTTCATCAAATCACAAAGATGCACCTGCTCGCTGCTCGTAGTAAATGGCCTTATAGTCATAATCCCTTATGGCCTTATTCCCTTTTATAAGCTGAGGTAAGGGATTCTACAAATACAATCAAATGAAGAGAAAATTATCAAATCTAGTTAGAACAGGATTTTACACAGAAGCTCTCTCTTTATTTTCAAAGCTTCATTTTCAGTCACACCCCGTAGACGAATTCACCTTTCCTTTCCTTCTTAAAGCGTGCTCGAAGCTCAAACTACTCCCACATGGCCAAATACTTCACGCCCATCTCACAAAAACTGGGTTCAATTCAGATATATACACCGCCACATCCCTCACCGACATGTACTTCAAGTTTCAGTTCATGGAAAGCGCACTCAAGGTGTTCGACGAAATTACTGAACCAAATACAACATTGATCAACGTTATCGTATCTGGGTTTTCCCAGAACGGGTATTACAAGGAATCTTTGGACATTTTCAGACGAGTTAATAGTGAGTATGGACTCAAACCCGATTCTGCCACCATTGCTAGCTTGTTGTCAGGTTGTGAAAACGACCTAAAAGATGGCCTCCAGATCCATTGTTGGGCTTTCAAGATCGGTGTTGAAACAGACATTTATGTAGCCACATCCCTTGTGACAATGTACTCTAACTATAAACATCCCGAAACTGCATCAATTGTTTTCAAACAAATCCATAATCGAAATGCAACTTGCTATAACGCGTTTCTTACGGGTTTATTACAAAATCGAAATTTTCAACCCGTATTAGAAACATTCAAACAAATGCTCCAATCATCAGATCAAAACCCAAATCCAGTCACCTTTCTTTCTGTTCTATCCGCATGTTCTGATCTCAAGAATCTGAAATTTGGAACACAGGTTCATGTGCTACTTATTAAACTCAATTTGGTACTCAACGTGTTAACTGGAACTGCACTTTTGGACATGTATTCCAAATGCGGATATTGGCATTGGGCTCACGATGTTTTCAAGAATCTTGATGGTGTAAGAAATCTAATAACATGGAATTCAATGATTTCAGGGATGATGATGAATGGGGAGATTGAAACTGCTATTCATTTGTTTTCAATGTTGGGATCCGAAGGATTTAAACCCGATTCAGCAACATGGAATTGTATGATAAACGGGTTTTCACACCTCGGGAAAACCCACGAATCGTTCTTGTTTTTTAAAAAGATGTTAGAAACCGGTGAACCCCCGAGTATGAAATCGATCACAAGTTTATTATCTGCTTGTGCTTCTATGTTTGGTTTTGTAAGTGGTAAAGAAATCCATGGATATGTTATTAGAAATGGTATTAATCATGATGAATTTGTAGTCACTGCACTTGTGGATATGTACATGAAATGTGGTCGGCCTTCATGGGCGTTTTTGGTATTTAACAATCTTGAAATAAAACCGAGCGATCCCGTGATTTGGAACGCGATGATATCGGGGTATGGGCGAAATGGGGAGATTGAATCTGCTTTTGAGATGTTTGATTGGATGTTAAAAGAGAATGTGAAACCAAATTCGTCGACTTTTAACTGTCTTTTATCGGTTTGTAGTCATAGTGGAAAAGTCGAGAAAAGTTTGGAGATTTTAAGGATGATGAAATGTTACGATTTGGTACCGGGTTCGGAGCATTATGGTAGTGTGATTGATGTTTTGGGTAGGTCTGGTAGAATAGATGAAGCTCGGGGGGTGTTATTGGAAATTCCAGAAGTTTCAGGGTCGGTTTTGGCTTCTTTGCTTGGTGCATCGAAGTTTTATTCGGATACGAAAACAGGAGAAGAAATGGCGAAATTGCTTGTGGAATTGGATCCCAAAAGTACTCTGCCTTTTGTGGTTTTATCGAGTATTTATGCTGAGAAGGAAAGGTGGAAGGATGTGGAAGAGTTGAGAGGTGAGATGGATCGAAGGAGATTGAAAAAGATTAGTGGTTTTAGTTCGGTGATTGTAAGATAAATATTTGAAAATGTTGTGTTATTTTCTTAATGATGAGTTGATGATTGTATGTTAATATACAAGTAAGTATCCGGTCAATGATCCATTTTTCCATTCTAATTTAAATAAAGTTTTCATAAATAATGTACAAGAAAAAAGAAAAACGTTCAATAATTACATGCTAGAATTGTAGTTTGAAGATTTTTTCAAGCCAAACCGTTTTTTTTAAGAATTTAAATAAAATCAGATCCGGTATGAACTGAAATGGGGCTGGAGCATACCACCCATTTTTTCAAACCGGGTCCAGATGCACCTCACTACGATCATAACCGTTTATCAAATCCTACTTTTCTAACCAAGTTTAGCATTCTTCATTTCTCCTACTCCTACACCCAACCGTTTTTAGTTTTTACGCCCAAACATTTGTCTCGTTTACGTCCACAACTTCGTCTTCTTCGTCCGACTAAACCCTCTCTGCAACTTCCTCTCTCCATCTCCAATGGCTTCATCCGTATGCTCTTCGTTTCGAGCAATTATCCCTCAGTGGACTCACAGCAACAAAATTTTCAGATACTGTCTACTCCTACACTGCAAAAGGAAGCATTCTTTCAATTTCACGCCGTTAACTATTTCTTCTGCTTTCAACGATGATTCCATTCCTCCCACACCAAACCCTAAACAATCCCAGGTAACTAAAATCATCATCTATATCTCTCTCTGTTATTATACACATCATCATCGTTTCATTGATTGCAGATGAGTTACGATCCTTCAGAAGATCTCTTCGGAATTTACGCGGATCTGCAGCCGAGGTATTGCTTCTGACTTTCGATTCTAGTGTGTTTTGGGGATTTATCTACTTGGATTAGATGAGTTTATCCAATAGCCCTAATGTGTTTAATATTTAATAACTGACGTTAATTTCGATTTCAAATTTTGGAACATCCAAAACATAAAATTCCCCTGTCATTCTTTAAAGGCTTGCATATTAGCTACCATTGTACTTTGACTTTAACTCTTCAAAGCCATACTATTTGTAACAAAACAGAGTAAATGTTATAGCACCAAAAGGTTAAATGTGTGACTTTGATTCCAGGAAAGGTCTTTCAAGTGATTCAAGTCCAAGGTCTTGGTTTGGTCCAAATGGTCAGTATATTAGAGAGTTGCCTTGCCCAAGTTGCAGGGGAAGGGGCTACACTCCCTGCACAATATGTGGCATTGAAAGATCAAGATTAGATTGTTCACAGTGTAATGGCAAGGTGTGCTTTCATTCTGTATGTTGAATTATGTATCTTTTAATTAAACAAACCTACCTCCTTTGTACTGGATTATGTCAGGGTATGGTTACATGTCATCAATGCTCGGGTGAATGCGTAATTTGGGAAGAGTCCATTGATGAAAGACCATGGGAGAAAGCTCGTTCAATGTATCATCTCCTATCTTTTTGTGACTTCACATACTCCTATTAATTTTCTTTATATATATATATATATATATATATATATATATATATATATATATATACCATCATAGTAATTGACTTTATAAAACATCATACTTGGTTTTTCTCAACGAACTAATAGCCATTCTTCTGAAAATAAACACGCAAGAAAATATATCAAAATATAAATGCAATAAGAATCATCATACTTCCAACTTTTATGGCCACGACTTCTGAGCTGCTATCATATGTGGTTTATGGTTGCAAACTAGTAACTGTTGTTGTGAAAATGCCAAAAGGCACATAGTTTGCAAGAACCATTATGATTTGACACTTTTTCTCCAAAATCTCTCATTCTTGTAAATTGAAGTTGTCCTTTTAGTGTTTTCACTAGAACTCATTACTTTTAGGCCTGTGTATATTATTTTCAGTTCTCCACTGAGAGTAAAGGAAGACGATGAAGTTGACAATCTTGAAATAAAACTGTCTGTAAGGAAAAAGTCAAAGCGTGTATACCATTCTCCATCTCCTGAAGTTGGTTTGAAGATCAGTAAAGCTTTGAAAGCAAGTTTGTTTCTTTCCTTTTTATTTTTTTTCTTTAAAAAATAATAATAATAATAATAATACAGGATTCAGTAGTAGTAGATCGATCATGAACTAAATCTTTTGTTTGTTAGTTGGGTGATTGCAGAGCCTGAATGCGAAAACTGGATTATTCACCAACCGAATGAAACTCATCCATGGTAATCCCAAGCTTCATGCTGAACGAGTGGCAGCCATCAAGGTTTTCTTTCTTTGTATGACTTGTGTCTGTGGGTCCCATTCCCATTCAGATGATTTTTAACACTTAAAAAAATATACTCTACTGTTTTCAGAAATCTAAAGGGTCTGTTGATGCAAGAAAGCATGCTTCAGAAACCATGAAAGCCTTCTTTAGCGATCCAGAAAACCGACGCAAAAGAAGCATTTCCATGAAAGGTACATAGTAAAGGGCATTTATGTCTTTTTCTCTGTCTTGTCTTGTCCTGTAGCAGCTGAAAGTGAGTTTTGGTTTGGTGTTAGGGGTGGACTTTTATTGCAAAAACTGCGGTCGATTAGGGCACAGGAGACACTATTGTCCAGAAGTTGATCAAACAGATCGACGGTTCAGATGCAGGTTGTGTGGCGAAAAGGGTCACAACAGAAGAAGCTGTAAGAAATATGAGACAAAAGAATCAAATTCAGATAAAACAAGTTTTAATCCACCGTGTTGCAGTGTATGTGGAAAACCCGGGCATAATCGTAGGACTTGCCTACTTCAGCTTCAGCCCCCCACCTCCACCACAACCAAAACTCAGGGGATCAAGAAATCTCCTGTTGACTTGAAGAAAAGAGGTTACACTTGCAGGCTGTGTGGAGAAGAAGGTCACAACTTCAGGACATGCCCCTCAAGAAACATATCTTAATATAAAGACATATTAAATGTTAATGTTTCAGTAAAATAATATGGTAATAATTTTATTATTAAAACGATGGAAGTCGAAATAAGTTTTTGTTTTTGATTTTAGAAATATCATATTACGTAGTAACATACCGTTTGAGTTGATACAATACATTTCATATTTCATATAATATAAAATGAGTGGTAATGTTTCTCCTTACGAAAAAAGCATTTTACATATACTTAAACTTTTATCTACACCACCATTTAATTAAAGTAACCGTTCAATTACTCCACAAAATTTACTTGCTTAACATCATGAGCCGCTGGCCGGCCGCCCTCTCTTCCTCTTAAATGGCCTTCCCGGTGATCTCTTCACAACCGACTTCCCACCTTCCACCTCCACATGTGACGGCTGCCCTCTCTTCCTTTTCAATACTTTATCAGCCGGAGCTTTGCCAGCTGGCTTCTTGGACTGCACCTTTTTCTCCACCACAACCTCCATACGTGGTGGCCGCCCTCTTAACCTCTTTGAAACTTCAGCCGCTGGAGCTTTGCCAACTGGTTTCTTAGACCGCTCTTTTTTCTCCACCACCACCTCCACACGTGGTGGTCGACCTCTTAATCTCTTTGAAATTTCAGCCGTTGGAGCTTTGCCAGCCGGCTTCGGCTTCTTAGACCGCCCCTTTTTCTCCACCACCACCTCCACACGTGGTGGCCGCCCTCTTAATCTCTTTGAAACTTCAACCGCCGGAGCTATGTCAGCTGGCTTCTTAGACTGCCCCTTTTTCTCCACCACCTCCACACGCGGCGGCCGCCCTCTCGGTCTCTTTAAAACTTCAGCCGCCGCCGGAACTTTTCCGGCTGGCTGCTTTTCATTCACCACCTCCCGTCCGTCATCTTTACTTTCCACCACCACACGTGGCTGTGGAGGCTTCCCTCTTGACCTCTTCAAAACTTCGGCTGCCAGAGCTTGAGCTTTGCCAGTTGACGGTTTGGGACGCACCACCTCCTGCATCTCCACACGTGGCGGTGACGGTGGTGGTGGCAATGGCGGCTGCGGCTGCCCTCTGGACCTCTTCTTCAAAACTTCAACCGCCGGTGGTTGCTTGGACTGAACTCTTTTCTTGGTGACTTTTGCTAGACACAACTTGTCTTCGCTTTTGATAAACTTAAATACACATTTATCACCTTCACATAACTCATTAACTCGCCGGAATTCACTCCACCCTCCCGACAAATAGTACCTTTTGCTATCAGATAGTAACCTTATTTTCCACTCTTGTCCATCAATATTCTTCATTATCACGCTTCTTTCTGCATCTATTCTGGCCAACCGCGCAAATTCCGATGGAAGCCGCTGATGAGTTTTACAAAAGTTAAAATTTTCATTAGAACCAAATAATCTTACTGATTAAGATGAATTTATATAATACTTAAGGTAAAACTTACCATAGACATTGTGTGACCTTTAGACATAATCGTCATAAAGTAAGGATCGCCGTCATTCCCATCAACATCAACATCACCACCACCATCGTCATCTTCGTCACCGGCATCTTCTTCTTCATCGACACCCCCATCATCAAAAATATCATCTTCTTCTTCCTCTTCATCATCAGATTCTTCCTCTTCCTCTTCCTCATCCTCATCCTCATCCTCTTCTTCTGCTGCTTCTTCTTCGTCGTCTTCGACACCATCTTCAACTTCAACTTCTTCTTCCTCTTTCTCTGCTTCTTGTTCTTCTACTTCATCATGGTCATCATTTTCAACCTGGATTTGTGAGGGGAAATCTCTTTCACACCCATTTGGACTGAAAATTGAAAATTTGAACGTGGATTCATCAACGAGCCAAAACACAAGAAAATCCCCAAATCCCAAGTCGCTATCTTCAACGACGTCGCTCCATCCATCGGTAAAGCAGTAAATTTCACCTTCTTTTTTTATCTTCAATCTCCATTCATACCCTCCATTTCTTGATCGGAGTATTGGGTTCTCAGGGATCTTGTTCTCCAAGTGCCTGCGGATAAAACCAGATGGCAATTCCTGCAAAATTGCATGATTAGGAAAATTACTGGAAAAGAAAGAATAGAAATTGAATTGAAGTTGATGAGTACCAAGCGAGGGGCGGAACGGTCGAGCAAAATCTTGTAGAAGGAAGGGAGCGGGCGAAGGGCCATGATTTTGCAGACTGCAGAGGGTTGGAATTGGAAAAGAGGGTTGTTAATTGCCGCTCGTACTTGCCCTATACACCTACCTGAAATAAACATCAATAAAAATCGGGTTTCAATTGAATTTTTTTTTTTTTTTTTTTTAAATGAGATTTCTATTTATGTTTTTTAACTGTCTAATTAATATTTTTTGTTTCTAAATTTAAACTAAATAATAGTAGATAGACATATAAATGACTTTTTGTTTGATAACTGCTATTTCATCTGTCTATTAAAATATGAGAAATTAAATTGTCTTTTATATTTTATGGCTATAAATATCTCTATCCATTAAAATTATAACAAGTGTCACAAATTTATATTTTTCTAAACTATCTCATTAAAAGTATATTAGAAATATATAAAAAAAATTGAATGGTGGAATAATAACACTTGTTATAATTTTAGTGGACTAAAATATTTTTAGACATAAAAGTTATGAGGCAATTTAATTTCTCTTAAATATATAATATTAACTGCTACTCTTTATCACATAACCATGTTTATTAATGACTAATATGGATTAATGTACATAAATGGGCTTTTTATTTGAAACTGCTATTTTATCTTTTTATTACGTTTAGTTTTTGAGTTTTAGTAAGAAAAATGAGAAATAAAAGCGAGGAGAAAAAATAAAAAGGAAAAAAAGTTGTATTATATATTCCCGAGGTAGAGAAATGAAAAGAAATTGATATTTTGTTTATTTCTTTTCAAATTTTTCTAATTTGAAAGAAAAATTATGATGTAAAGTTTCATTCTATTTCTTTTCTTTATTCTATTTCTTTTCTTTAGTGAAACTTGGGACATTATTTTTTTATTATTTTCTTTACACTTCAATCAGTTTCTCATTTTATCGTGGTTAAGTTGAACTCAAAAATAGAGTGTTAAAAAATAATATATTGTTTATTTAATAATATATATATATATATATATATATATATATATATATATATATGTTCGTGTTACTAATTCTTGAGAAATCATTATATATTAATTTTTTAAAATTTTATGTATTAACCAGAAGCAATTTAATAAATTAAACATGTTAATCAATAATCAATTAAATGGAAATCCCTTAAATCTTGGATCCGTTAAACTATATATATATATATATATATATATATATATATATATATATATATTAAAGGATATACAGTAACTTTTTTCCATTTATACTTTTGACACTTTAATTTTATTTGTTTACAATTTTGCCTTAACTTTTTTCAATTCATATTTTTGCCACTTTACTTTTATTTTCTTACACTTTTGTCTTAACATTTTCCAATTCATACTTTTGTCACTTTTAACTTTTCCTAATTCATACTTTTGCTATTTTACTTTTATTTCCTTACACTTTTACCTTAACCTTTTCCAATTTATATTTTTGCCACTTTAGTTTTATTTCTTTACAAACACGTCTGAAAAAACCTTTCCGAACCATGCGAAGCATGGGCCCTTTTCCTAGTTCTCATTAAATTTGTAGCCCTTCTTCTCTTTTCTCTCACGACCATGATGCATAAACCCTAGGTGTTTGTTTTTTTAACAAAAAATCATGAAGTCTGCGAACTACCTCTGTAGAAGAATAAGTGGACCAAACGGCTACAAACTGTAATAGAAAGCGTGTTTGTTTTTTAACATCTGCATGCTGCTGCAAATATTAAAAAAATAAAATAAACATATTTATATACCGAAAATAGTTTTTTAATACCAAAAATTTAATAATGTATGACATTTCAGCAAAAAAATAATGATATTTCAACAAAAAAAAAATAATGATATTTCAACAAAAAAAATAATAATGATATTTCAGCAAAAAATTAATGATATTTCATAAAGAAATTATCATTATTCAATATAAAAAAACGAAAAAAATAATTTAACAAGAATAAACCAAAAAATACGAAAAAAAAAAGGTGAAACAAGAATTCAGCAACATATAATCAAGATTTCAGCAAGAAAAAAAAAAGAGGTTGGAAGAGGCAATACAAGTGCTGCCCCAAACAGAACACGTGCAGAGGTTTTTTACTCTGAATACTTCTAAAAACAAACAACTACGAGATGAAAAGTGTTGCGTGTGTGCTGCGTCGCGCAACAATAAGAGGTGAAGAGGTTTTTTACAAAAAACAAACAACACCTAAGTAATTTCAATTTTGATTACAGAGATCTTAGGTGATTTCCTATATGAACATTGCACACTTCTAGAATTAACGCTCAAGGTCAGCATCTCTTCTCTTCTGTTTGCTCTCAGTTTTGGATTGGAAAAATGACTTATAAGCCAAACGAAGTTTCCAAATCGTTCAAAAAACCCTAATTATGTTTTGTTTGTTCAAGAAAACCCAACGAACTTAACATTTTGTTTAAAAAAACCCAACTAACTTACACTTTTGTTCAATTCTCATTAGGGTTAACCAGCTAATGAAAGTCAACGAATGATGTAACATCCCAAAAATACTGAGTAAAATTTTTTATTTTTAAGTCAACCCAAAACCATCATTCATTTCAAACCATCAAAGTACGACAATGTGGAAAAATAGTTATCAGAGTACAATCCCAAAATCATAAAATGTTGAACACCGGTGGATGTATGTGATCATGTCGAGGTCTTCCCTTTCGAACCAGAAGTACCTGAAAAACATTTTAAACATAAACCGTAAGCACAAAGTTTGGTGAGTTCCCCAAAAATACCACATATCATACATATGTTGCCATGGGCTACCCTCATGGTCTTGCATACAAGTGTAATGTGCTACCCCTATGGTCTTTTCCATGGAATGTCATGGGCTACCCCCAGGGTCTTACAATCAAGTGTTATGGGCTACCCCCATGATTTTTCCTTTAAATGTCATGGGCTACCCCTATGGCCTTTCAAGCAATTGTCATGGGCTACCCCCATGATTTTTCCTTTAAATGTCATGGGCTACCCCTATGGTCTTTCATGCAATTGTCATGGGCTACCCCTATGGTCTTTCATACAAATGTCATGGGCTACCCCTATGGTCTTTCATACAACTGTCATGGGCTACCCTCGGGGTCTTCCATGCAAGTATCACAAAGACAACAAGCATCCTACATAATATAGTGAGAAGACTCACCTCAATCTGATGATAAACAAATCACACACTTGAGTTGTTGCTATAAAGGCTCCTCACACTTAACATATCCAAAACAATCCCTAGTTAATAGTTACGGTAATAACCCATAATCAAAGGTCCACAACATATTCTCTCTTACTAAGGGTAAAAGACCATTTTACCCTTCCAAGGCTAAACCCAACCAAACCTGGCCCAAGGCCCAAAAATGGCCTAAAAGCATTTATGGGAGTACACCATGCGTACTCTCTTCTTACGCCATGCGTACTGAGTTACCACCGAGAAGGAAACAGGGTATAACTCGTTACGCCATGCGTACCCCAGGGTTACGCCCTGCGTAACCCCTATGATGCCAAATTCCATTTTTAAGCTCTTAATACCTAAAGACTAAATGTCAAACTCATAAATCATAATCTTGAGAAGGTCTTAACTGATAAAGTCGTCAACTTTAAGCTTTTGCATGGCTTAATGGAGCCCAAAATCAAACTCTATGTCCAAGACTTCACAAAATGACCAACAATTCATGCATGGGTGGAATATAACCCTCAAGATCAGATTTTTATGCCATAAGAATCTCAGAAACACCAAGAAATGTTAACCTAAGCTCTGGAGTAGCTTTTACTTACAAGAACCAAAACCATGAGACCAAAAGCATGCAAATCTCTAAGCTAGTCTAAATCTAAGCCATAGAACCATAAAGGTGAGAGCTTTATACCTCCAGAAGCTTATCCGAGATATTCAGCAGTTGAGGTGACTTTCCTCACTGTGCTTGTCGGGTCGAAGGCACCAATGCCGACCCATGGTTTATTATGATTAGGATGCTAGTTGTCTGTGTGACTCTTGCATGTATGATGTGATATGTATATCAGGCAGGGTCCGATGCCAGGAGAGGCATGTTGAGTATATTGTATGCTATTTGCCTTAGTAATTCTTGTATGTGCTTTATGTGACTATATGAATGTCGGGTGGGGATTGATGAATGAGATGAGGTGGGGCCCATCTCATGATATTGACAGATCTGTTCCGAGCGGGGCCCGATGGGATTAGGGGCATGACCCATTGTATGTTTGTTACGTATGCTATGGGGTATTTCAGGGAACTCACTAAGATTTGTGCTTACGGGTTTTAGTTTATGTTTCAGGTACTTCCGGATCGAAGGGGAAGAGCTCGGGGTGATCGCATCGTACACACCATGTTGTTTCGCATTTTGTTTGACTCTAATGTAACTGGATGATTTTGACCTATTCTGATTTCATTATGGTTTTTATGAAAATGTTTTAGATGATGGTTTAATTGTTATAAAAATGAAATTTTTGGTCTTAAATTTTGGGACGTTAAAAGATCCAAGACACAAAATATTCTTATTGACCTGAAGATTCATAAAGTTGCAAACTTTATGAGATCCTATTACTTAAATCCATTAAAACATGGAAAAAGGGGGACAAAATGCAAAGATCTAGCAACATGGTAAGAAAGAGGTTAGATCTTGGACACTCACCAAAGTCCAAGAGATATGTTAGCTGGAGAAATGATGTTTTTCAAGTAACCACCACACCAAGAGCTTCCTCTCCTTCTAAAATCACCCAAAAAGCATCAAGAATGAGCTCATAACTTCAATGGAGGCTAGGGTTAGGGTTTTTGAGGTTGGGAGGAAAATGGAGGCTGAAACCCTAGCCTTAATGTTCCTTATATAGGGTCCAAAGCCCGAAATTAAGGTTTTCACTAAAACACCTGCCACGTCGTGGTGCCTCAATACCACATCGTGACGGGTCATTTAAGTCCCGCGATTCAAAACGTTCTGCAACGTCATGGTGATGCTCCACCATGTCATGGCCACCCCATTTAAAGTAAATACATGAAAGTTGATTCATACCTGTACCGGATGTTACAGTTCCCCAACCTTAGAATTCCTTATTACCAGGGGTGTTGTAACATCTCGAAAATCAGG